AACAAGAGGGCGTACCCGATGTATGAAGATTGCTGAAATATATGTTTTCGCAGCTGAGACCATTATAACTAAGAATGCAAACATACTTTGCCTCGTAGTACGATGCTTCATAGCACCTAAAAAATAAATGTTTTAGCAACATTTACACTTTACTAGGACCTGTTTACTAGAACCCAGGTCATATGAATTTCAGCCGAGGTGTCCTAAAATTCAACTTTTCTATCGATTAAGCAAACGTATAGGCCAAATGCAGAATACTTGCGACCTAATGGTGCACAACATTCATTTCAGGCGTAAAATGTAGAAGTACTATTCACCCGACATATAAACACTGGCATCTCTGAAAGCTGAGTGAATGACTTGCAAGTTAGATGGAAACTGTGTGTACATTTTTGTTTAACCTGTATACTAATACTTCAATTAATTATAGAGAATATTAAAGTTCTAGAAATTTTGCCAGCATATAAGTATCGCCAACGGAGTAATTATTTGAAACATGAGACAGCCGGTGCTATAGCTTTCTAATTTTTACGAAAAAAAAGTCAAAGAAACCTAACTATGGTAGCAACACTGTATGCCACTTCGTTCAGAACACCTTACTTCTGCGGTAGAGCATCCAGGCTTAGAATTTTCGCTCTTTCCCGAGTCGACTATGTTATGCATCTCGCTGTTATATGACAAAGTTCTTATGCGTCCAATAAACCCGTTACTGTATTTGGTACATAAGACCAAACGTGCTTCAGAGCTTTGGTAGTGGGAGCTCCGCCCAGCTGCAGAAGAGCATTTATGTTAAGCAATTAGTTCTAGAACACGGTAGCGGCTACGGTCTCCTCCGTTGACGTCGACGTGGTGGTTCTGGATGCAATGGTTCGTGATTCTGACCGATTGCTGATCTCACTAGAGATCAATACGCTGCTAGTGTTCATCAGCTAGGGACTATATAGGAATTATAGTGAGCTCGACAAATCCTGAGTCAAAGACCGGTAGAGGTCAAAGTTTGCCTTCAGTTAATTCGAGGCTGACCATTTCTAGATTTTGTTTCGGTTTGCTCTGCGACAACATCGCGAAACTCGTCGATTTTCGATTTAACCTCACCCTGAGATTGAGGATGGCTTCTTCTAGAAGATTTTTCACGGTCACTGTGACATCACCTGTGGCTTCTTGTTTGTGGTTACGATCGTACGCCAAAAATTTAAGCCTATGAATTCCAGTGACGTTATTCATTGTAATCGTAGCGGTATTTATGTCCAGCTTGAAATTGTCATGCTTTTTGCTGTTTTTCCAGAAGAACGTCTTCTTAGACGGGTCCCAGTCACTTAGATGTTTGACATATATCCGACCGATCCGTGTGAGAGGATTCCTTCTCCGATTCGCGATCCGACGTCTGCCACGTATAAACTACTGCCATACTATTTCCGTAGTCACCTTCTGGATTACGTTGGACAGGGAATAGCTTCTTGATGTCATTTGATGCGTCAGGGTGCATACGGAAGGTGAACGGTGTACGTCGCTTTTAGAGCACCCATCTGAGACAAGAACCTCATGAACCCCGATAGGTTGTGTCCTTTCTGGCACGACCGGCCTATAATCATAGCGACATTTCGAATAGTTGTGATTGACATCGGCGACAATAGTGGTAAGCATAGCGGTTACTGTGTGCGCTGGAGTGCCATCGTCGATGGTGAAGAGCTTCTTGTCAAATATTGACCACGTCATCCCGAGGAACATACAACTTTTTTCTCTTGTCGGAACCTTTATAAATTCGGTAGCTGACATTAGATTTTTTACTACTGGAATCAACCACTCGAAATGTGGCAACATTTGAGCCTACGCTCAAATTTTAAGCTATTAATGCGCGTATACTAAGCTCCTCAAACGCTAGCCGGCGATCGTCAACGCTGCTGAATCGGATATTCACTTTTAACTAGTTTAATTGGCAAGGATCCAAGCCATATTGTCTATCGACCGCACTGGTGAGGCTAAATTTTTGCTGAAAATCATCGGAATTCAGCGGCTGAAATGACAAAAGCAAATGTTAAACAATTTGTCAGTTTTTCCAAATCATCAATAGTTATAGCTCTCTTATATTTGCGCATAATTCGTGGAATGTATTTAAAGTTTTTTTTTTTTTGTCTAGCTTTTTATATATCTCTAACTTCTTTGCAATTACATTTGTGACGTTGGAGGAATGAACTTCATTGTTAAAAGTCCCAAAACGGTCCATAGCAAACCCAGCATAAATGATTTTGTATAGGTATTTATCTATTTCAAAAAGGGATCTATCGGTAACCACAGCCGCAGCGACCATTACAAGCGTAACATTTTTGTTTTCTCTGTCTCTCTAAGCCGCAACCAGATACATATCATTAATGTGATTTACGCTCAAAACCAAAGGAGCCATCCCTCGAACATTAGAACAGTCCACCCTTATCTGTCCTATCTGAAAAAGAGCTCCAATTAGCAACAGTGGCGACAACACGGGAAAGCTTTAGGGAAACAATAGCGTTTGCATTCAAAAAATTTTTTTGACGATCAGTACTAGAGCTTTAAAAGTTCCCGGGCGTGTTGGTGTCCGTGCCATGTTAACGGTACATTCATATCTGGCGACTGGAAAGCAATACTAAGTTATTTAGTCAGCTAGGGAACGCGCGGACTTTACTTCGTCGGACGCTACACGTCTGCAAGGCGCTTAGGTTCTTAATGCTATTCACTGGAGCAAATTAGATCGTCGTTTTCCGCGCTCCTCGCTGGGCTAACCTGCTTCGTGGTTAGGCACATACCTAGAGCAGCCGCATTTAGATCAGCAGTAAACGGGGTAAACATGATGCCGCTACTTAACATGTAGACATTGCTCCAGCACACGTACAGATCAGTTCACATGTATAAACACAAAATATGCAAACGAATTAAATATATAATTTTAAATTGAGAATGAAACCGAACTAATTGAATATAGTGCACATGATCATTTCAAGCGAGTACAAAGTCATACTAAGACAAAAAAAGCAAAACATAGGGCAGGTAATTATTTTGCTGACCTCTCGACGCTTTATTGGGCCTCTCAGCGAGAGTGTGTGTGTGTGTGTGATACGTCATGACATCGTGTCAGGTCGCCAGTACAAAAAACGGGTCGTGTAGTTGTCTATGCTGCAGGACCGGCTAGCTCCTCCAGTACTCTTTCACTAGAATAAACTGGTTATTTGGAATTACTTTTGGAAAAATAATGTAAACAACAATAATATTTTAGTGGTAAGCAGTGTCAACCAAATCATATTTACTATAAACGTAGATAGAATGTAATTTGAAAGAAAAGACCTCTGTTCCTTCTGTTTCTGCCATGCTGAAATATGACTAAAGGAATAGCAGTAATAAAAGCTATTTTAAATTGGAGAATACTGCATAAGCAACGTGACCAGCATCGATACTCGATACAACTGGAGACATAGCTGGCAAATTTGAGCTTTCGTGGAAAAGCCCAAAAAAAAATGTTCATTGAAACAATTACTAAATATTCTATGTTTGTTTAATTGATATTATCCATGATAACATTTGAAACTGAAAAGGAACCACAGTCACAGTCACTTACACAGCGAACACGCTTAAGGAGAACTTTAACATGCATTCGAAACCTCGTATAGCAACGGGCAAGGAGGAACTATAATATTTATTGCAAATTTTATAAATGTTTTTTCGTTGGCCCTTTGCTATAAAAATCGTTTCCGATTTCGTACCCGAATAGGAAACACCAATGCTTTGTCTGATGTACTCGAGTGCGTTTTAATTATGGACTCTAATGGGGAGTAAGGAAATTAAAGTAAATGGCAGTAAAAGTTGAAAAAATACAACAAAACAAGTAAAAACTGCATCTAAAAGCATACAGCAATATTGGACAAACAACAACTGACTTAATCACCCTCGATGATAAATAAATCAGCTAGTTTCAAGGCTCGTGCCTAACTTTAAAGGTTCTTCGTTTTCTTTAGGGATCCAAATTACCGTAGAATCGACGTTATTTAAAATGTATTATATATGAATGATAAGTGGACTCGCCGAAGTCGCTGGTATATGGCCATTCAAACACGCCAGCCAGTCCCCATGATAGTGTCTAGTAGACTTATCTGCACATGGTAATCTATATATGAATCCGAATGGTGACAAGCTTCGTTTCATGCTGGGAGCTAGCTGTCTAGGAGAATAATTAACTGCAGCAGCGGATGCAAAGCTCGAAACCTCTAGAAAAGTTAACCAGAAGGACTACTATTTCATTATCCGGATTTTTTTACACGGTTAGCTCCAAAGTCTTTGACGACTAATGTAAATTCCAGAGATCCCCTGCAGGTTCAAAAAATACCTATACTTCTAAAGAAAACTTGGTATTTCGTACTATTTAAGTTAGAGTTACGATGCGTTTTCAATGTCACAAAAGACATTTAGAACTTTTTCAATCTACCCGGACTCACCTTCCGTCTCTTGTAATTAATAGACCAAAAAATTTTGTGAATAATAAAAACTGCGGCTTTCGATGTAGAACAAATAAGAAGTATGAGTTGGCTGATTCCAATCTAGACCTTATGCTTATTTCCAGTAAATAAATGTCTATTGCATCGCAGAAGAGACAATATACCAAAATCATGGTTGTAGTCGTACTTTTCAGGGTCAGATTTGTCCCAAAGATTTTGGAAAGGTGATAAAAATAAAGCTTCGAAAACAGAGTGGTCACTCTGCAACCTTGATTTACTTCTATTGATACTTTATTCGCTTTTGTATCAGGTTTTTACACCCCATAGTTTATCTTAACGTAAATGCCTTTCCAATTTCAGAGGAAACGAAAATATAGCAAGTAGATATATGAAGCGTCGTAGTCAAATTGCAAGACCGCCCTAGTCAATTTAAACTTTACCTTTCATTTTATCTTAGAGAATCATATTCGGAATAATTCTGCGGCCTCTAGCCGAATAGCTCGAACAGCATTATTGTGTTATGTTTACATTTTGGCTCAGATGCATATGTGTCGGTTCCTCTCTTAGGTGTCGATTTGTGTTTCCATCTTCACTTGTGGGCTTCACCCGTCGGCCGTGTTTTCGAAGAGCCCGCAACACTATACTGATTGTGTTTTGTTGATTGTCGCGCCAGTGGGGAGCACCAGCTGTTTTGTCTGGCAAAGTGATCCTAGTAGCGCTGAATTGTGAGTTGACAAGGGCTACTTCTCCCTCCACTGGCAAGCAAATTAAATGAATCTAAGGACGAAACGCATACCTCACCAGTGCCAAGCGTATACTATGCATTATGCCAGTGTCTTGCTATTTGAGGAAACTGTTTATTTTCAACACTATAAAACAAAGCATATTGAGAGTGTTCTTGCAACAAATTGAATGAGTTTGTAATAACTGAATCGAAGTATACTGCACAATATACAAACAAGCACAACCTCTTGCAAGCATTTGAGGCCGACCATATTGAGTAGACTAAAAATGTTATTACTGGAGTGCGTTAAATAGAATAATATTTAGGGAAAAAGGTCTGTTTGTGCAATTTGCGCGTCGTGAAAAATGTAGCAAATGAAGAAAAATCATGGTTACGGCTCAGTTAGTCACAACGTATAGCAATTCACTTTGACAGACTTTTTAACGAGTTAAGGAACCTATCCCAAAATGGCAGCTTAGTTAATTGCTTTTAGAAGCTATGAAGATAGGACGAGGCTATGGCAGGGTCGGATTTTTGAGTACTGTAAAATTGCCAACTCAAATTCTTCTATTACTATCATCATTCTATTGCTATTGTTCAACTGAAAAAGCTAGGCCTCCAAAGTCTAAATCTACATCAATGTAAGATTTGTAAGATTGCCGTCTACTTTTGTTATCAAGTTTTCTAACTTTTTTAGCATCTGAAACGTGGCAGGTAAGTTAGAAGACAAAGCATCTAAATACATTTAATTTTTATGTTTCAGAAACGAATGATTTTGACTTAGATAATTCCAGCTGGATATACAGATTTTCGTCCCGCTCAAGCCGCCGCAAAGAACAATCTTCATAAAGGCGAACAATGCCGACTGACACGCTTTTGCTAGCGATTGCAGCGGTTATATCCATCGCTGCTATCGGCTTTTTACTTTTGTTTCTACTTAGGAGGTCCCAGAACAGCGATGACACACCCGATCGACCTCGACTCAGACCTGCTCAAGTACGTAAGACAAATCTACAATTAAAACTATCTTCAGGGAGTCAGTTAAATGGCCTATATGTGGCAGAATAAAACCTGTTAATTCTCATTCGTGACAGCACACAACGTTTTATTATATATAGCGGGGCATCTAAATCCAGATTTTTTCTGCGAGTTGTTTCTAACACTCTACCTAAACTAAAATAAATATCAAAATTTTTTGCATGTGCTCAAAGCGACTCTCCTGGCGGTTGTATTTGTTCAATATAACTGTCATTTACCACGATTACAATGTCAAAACAGGACCCAAACTACACACTGTCTATTCTCAAAGATGCTGTTTTTCGTCCGCAGATAATTTTTTAATAATAACTGTTCGTCAAGTAACGTTAGTATGTGTAAACTAATAAGCGTCAAAAGTGCTGAGAATAGCCGTTAATTTCCCTATAAATATTCAGGTACATAAGAATTGGTTTTTCAAGTCATATTGATATATTTTGGAGTCTTCTCAATATAAACTTTGTTGACTAGTTTGCGTTCTTTTTTCAGAAGCCACATAAAAAATGGCAATAACGTAGATTAATGATTTCGGGCATCAAAGCAAATTTATTTTAAATTTAAATTCTTCGTCCTGTATGTTAGAAAAATAATAACAATCGCTTATTATATAACACACTAATTTTATTATTGAAGTTGCCCATAAGTAGGCTGGCAAATTAAGAGCGATTTCTCTGAGGGCCAACACAACCCTAAGGATCAGCGCTGTCTGTGGTAATCAACATGTTACGGATAGGAAATGTATTCATAATTGAAAATCTTTTTTTGAAAGATGGCCACAATTCGACAAAAGATTGCGTTTTGTCGGCATTAAATACTCGTTGTGTTCAGGCGCCTATGAATTGATCCATAATTTACCCACCTATTATTATGGCAGGTATTAATGCTCTGCCGTGTAAATTTTTTATTGTTCCTAGATGAACCGTGCTGACGACGAAGTAATGCGACGTCCAATTCGTGCTCGAGGCATCCGAAACCGAATGACTCGTGAACTCTTCGAGGAAGAGGCTGTTCGGGAACGAGAAGAACGCTTAAGGGAAGTTTTTGAAGAAAATGACGTTGATATGCCTACAGGTAAGACGTTGCGTAATTTTAAATGACCATTGCAGTGACTTCTTGAATTAACAAAATGGTTTTTGAATGTAGAACTTATAAGCTACTATATTAACGGACTAGAATATCACTTATGAACGACATATGATATGGTCTTGTTGAGGATACCAATCGGACTTACGGCCTACGAGTGAATGTATTAATCTAAGATGAGATGAAGGCTCCCATATCAAAATGAACTTTATAGAATGATATTATATAAAATTATTAAACAGGTAAATTTGATTTTCTTTCCTTTTCTCATGTAATGTGGAATTTTGTTTTTTTTTTCCTTTCTGTCATATAGGGAAAGTTGGTACCAAAAAATTACGCAAACTTGAGGAAAAAGCCGAAAAGCGTCGCCTCCGAGAATTAGAGCTTCAAGAAAGAGAGGTAACGAAGTGGTGTCTCTAATAAGAAAAGTATTAACAAAAATTACTACTAAACTCTTAGTTTATATTGAGTGTATTTACATACATGAAAAGTGATTTATTAAAATAGTCGAGAGATGTAATAGCTTGGCAGTTCAATTTGTAGATTTTCCACATGTATACCATCTGATGAGTGCATTACAGGAACGAGCTCAGAAACAGGCTGAGGAGGACGAATACCGCAAAAAAGTAGAGCAGAAAAAGGAGGATGAACAAAAACAAAAAGAAGAAGAGGAACGGAGACAGAAAGAGGTCCGTAGACCAGCGATTACTTGCTCGCTGCATCAGTAACAATTAGACCATACCAATGCTTCTACAGTGATGCTCGGCACTTATCTTTAGATGTCTTACAAAGACATAGGCTGTACATGCTTGCTAGTTCGAATATTCCTACTCCAAAATTAAATATATATTATTCGCTTCTTGTATAATAATTTCGATGGTGATTTTGAGGGAATATAAAAGTTCGTGCTGCTGAAATTACCTTAGTCACTGAAAGACAAAATCGCTTAAAGAACAAAGCACTTAGTGCAAAAAATAAACTGTCCACTGTTAGCGCATAATAAGTGTGTATATGAGATAAATCAACTTATTAACTTATCACCATTATTTAAATAATATTTTCAAGTGAGAACATCGATAACCTTAAAAAATAATCCACACTAACCGATAGTTAAGTTTTCCTTTGACCAGACTTCTAGCTCTGATGCACTAGTTAACAGCTCAAGATCCATTATTAAAGATATATTTAGCGGCTCACTTGCAAGCCTAGAATGGTTTATACATCCTCTGTTTTTCCAGTTTCGCGTTGTCGACGCTACTATCTACGTCTTATAATTGGTGTTTATGTGAATGGTTTTGGAAAACAATGTTTGCTCTGAATGACTCTCATTTTTCTAATCATTGTATAAACACAAGCAGCTCCTGCCTGATTTTTTCAACAGTTAATAGTGAAACAACTTGCAATCAAGTAAATAGGTTTATTTAATACAGGAGAAAGAACGTCGTGAACACGAAGAGTATCTGAAAATGAAGGCGGCCTTCGCCGTTGAAGAAGAAGGCTTTGATCAGGTAACTAATGCTTTTAGTGGAATTTTTTTTGCTGATAAAGATAAAAGGGGGCTTATAAAAAGTATTATTCCTTCACAAAATCGCGTCAGTGTACCGGTTATATCAGTGTAGCCTTACAACACCTTAGTCTATATACATAGTTTGAGTAACTCATGTTCGATGCTTTAGTTTCCGGTTAGTCCAAAGAGTATCTTGGCTTACTTAATATCTGTAGCAGGCCTGGTTCCAACTTACTTTGCCTTTTAGAGCGCTAGTTGATTGTTTGTTTACTCTAAAGTTCAAAACACCATCTAATATTTAAACCAAAAATGGCCATTGAAGTAGTATGTTTCTAATATGAAGTAGTATGTAAATATGTTTCTAATGCGCATCCATACAGTAAATAAAAGCGTGATCCTTAGTTTCTTATTTTTCTTGGTATCTTTTTTCTAAACTTTTTTTTTATTGTTGTTAGGAAGACGACCCTAACTCGTCGCAGAAGTTGCACGAGTTCATCACGTATATCAATGAACATAAAGTTGTCCAACTTGAAAATCTTGCCGCTCAGTTTAGGATGAAGACGCAGGATTGTATTGACAGGTGGGTTGATATCATTTGTTGGCAACATTCAAGTCAATATAAAACAACTGAGTTGATTTGAAATAAATATACTCATTGTCAGTTAGACTTAACAAGAATCTACCCACGTAACTACTTTTGTGCTTTTTAGTTGCCTTCAGTTACAAGCAAGATATTCGTGACGTAGCTAAAAACAGTGATGTATTTAACTACGTTCTTTAGTTTCCACATAGTCAGTTGACATAGTACTAAAAAAAATTTTTTCAAGTATCATGTAAATGAATTAACACTAACCGTCTAACTTAAAGGTTGTTAAATTAAATAAAAATTCTGCAAAAACCGCACCCGTTTTCGTTCCTTCATTTGCCCGTTTCTACCCAATTTCATTCTACAGAGTTCAGCGTCTATTAGAAGATGAGAGTCTATGCGGCGTTATCGACGACCGAGGCAAATTTATCGCTATTACTAGAGACGAACTGGATGAGGTAGCTCGTTTTATCAAGGTACGATAATTAAAAAAAAATGCCTGAGGCAGTCGAACTCTGAGTTTTATTTTCAGTAAAAAAATTGTATAATTTGTTAATATTTTTTGAGAGACCGGTATAGAAACAATTTGGTCGAAAAACGAAAAAGACGATGCCAAAAGAAACTCTTGGAGTAACATAATCCTATATATATGACATTATTGCCTAAAAATGACAACTGGTATGTGGAAGAACGCTAATATACATATATTAATGTAAAATATTTTTGAAAAATTGACTAGTTGTTTGTAAAAATACTCAACAACAAACCATATCCCAATATTTCGTACTCGGACACACATATATGCTAGGCGTTCGGTCATCGAAGAATCCTCAGTTTACGTTTTAAGCAAATAGACCAAAAGATTGCAGTTGGTCCAGACTGTTTGAGGCTAAGTTTTTTTAAAATGACTGGCGATGTCATCAGTGCCCTGAGCAAAGTTTAGTTGAGATGATCACAGTCTAGAAATTTGAAAAGGCTCCTATTTTTACGTTGTAAGTTCGCGATTAAGGGAAAATTCTGGTTTTTCATTGTCATCCTTGCAGGTGCGTGGTCGCGTTTCTATACAGGAACTCGTCGAAAATAGCAATCGTCTTATTAACCTTGCGTCCGTGTCTACATAAAGTATAGCCGAAGTGTCAACAGAGCTCAATATTATACTGCTGAGCTAGCCGAAAGTAAAGAGTTTGGAGCTTTGAAGGTAGAAGGAAACTGGGAGATACGGAAAAAGTTTTAAGCTGTGACTAGAGGTAAAATCCTGCTGTAATATATTGAAATGAATGAAGAACGTACGTCATTTAAAAATAAAGAATTTTAAATTCATGTTTGTTAATTATTGTCTTTTTGCTAGACTTTGGCTCTTAAAGGGGGGCCTTCACATGACACTGATAATGGCAGTCAGAGTTTCCAACAACTCAGTTTATGAATAGAAATTCCAGTCGTGCTACTTCATTCCCTCTGTTCAATTGACTTGAGATTTTTCCTTTTCAACGTTTACTAACTACTTGATTTTGGAATGTCTCCTATCTGGCACACTTCGAACGATACTCACTCGTTCTACTGCTACTACAAAGAAAACGTATACCGTAGAGGCGCGCAACCTTAAGCCAGGTTGGTTTATAGTCTACAATATCTAAAAACTTAAACAGTAGACGATATATCCGATGTCGACGTAAAAACAATTAAACCACGACAAAAAGGCCCATGCTAGATTTCAGAATTCGTTCATTGAATTCAGGACTGAACCAACCAAAAAAGACGTCGAATTTTCTCGAAGTTAAAACATAGATTTAATAGTACAATGTACTAAGTTCGATGTTTACACTTTAAGAATTTATTTGTCCCACCACTCAGTCGTAGACAGCACCCAGTTGGAATGTATCAACATCATGTAATATTACGTAAAAATGAATGACCATTGAAATGCCGCTTTTTCATTGTGAATTGTGAAAGAAAAAAGGGATCAATTCATCTATCAAAGACGAATATATTACTGTGTTGAATAGAATTAACCTTTATGTTTGTCGAATTTATATAATCCGATAAAACTTGGAATAAAATTTAAATATTCTCTCAGTGGTCTATATAGGTCTATAACACAGAGTTAGTCCATCTTCTGTCAAGCTCTGTCCGTGAATCTGAACACTGGTTGGTACAATCCAGGTAGCCATGTCGCCTTCCGTCTCTGAAAAAAATATTTGTCCAGAAAAATCATCAGAGTCGTGCACTTCTGTTTAGAATTCTCGGAGAGCCGAATTACCTAGAAAAGTTTTCGAGCAAGTCGTCAGGCGTGTTTATCCCTGAAACTTATAAGTTCTCACATGTGCACTTATCCTACGCTCTTCTTTATGTATATTCCAGGAACCATGTGTGGATAAAACTCTGGATAAGACAAACAGGATCGACAAAATAACTTATATTTTTCATTATGTTGTTCTGCACGCGTCCTGCTACTGCACTATTCGATTTTACCGATATATATGACAATCGCATACGGCGAAGCAAAAGTTAGCGATAATCGGCCTAGACGAAGCCTGTCAATCATGAATGAAAGTAAAAAAAAAAATAATTTTCCTTCGTTAACTATACATTACACCTTCTTCAAGATATAATGTTCTCAGGTAAAAAAAATAATTACTGGAAATTATCCTCAGATACTGTTCAAGTGTTTGTACAGCAATATGAATTAGTTAAGTATATAATGACAGTTGTACGCCCTTTGACCTAGCAAAGTACATGGATATGCTAAGATAAAGGCGTGTGAAATGTTGCTGGTCGTCGTATGGAAGCGGTGTTACGGCAGTGCTATTTTTAAACGCCGGTAAAACGAAGCTACGAAAATGAGTAAGAAGTTAGTTTGCATTTGATCATCGCGCTGTTGTTCGTCTACGAATTAGGCACTGCGGAAACAGAATGAAAAAAGCTTAAACCTTTATAAGTAAAGGTTTGAGTTTTTGAAGAACAAGTTACACCATAAGCAACAAACATTGTCACATGTAGACATGTTTCACATGTACAATCACACAGATGTAGCACATCACACAGCTTAAATAGTTATGTTTCTACTGTTGCGACCTTGATGCGCAAAATACGCAGGCATAAATGTGGGGAACTCGTGACGCAACTACATAATTTTAGGATAGATATTGTTACCTCAGAATAATGAACGACACAGAAAAGGAGCCAATTTATTTTTGCAAAATGGCTACTAAACAACGGATTCGTTGTTTGCAAAAAAAAAAAAATACTTAACAATAAATCCTAAATTCAGATACATTCCAAATGTTGCAGATTGATTTTGAGTTATCGTATTAAATATGTTAAAGAAATTTCGTCAGACCAGGCAGATGGACAAAGATGACATATCCTCGAGTCTTTCTTATTATATGGAAACTCGGGGTCCATAATTTAGGATTTTTGTTTGATTCCTCCTAAACGAAATTTTTCAAGTTCTTGCAGAACAGGACAACAAGTAGGGGTCCAGGTACCATTATCTAGTCTTTCGAGTACACGGTGAGGACTTTTAGAAATTATGGATCTTTCCGGTGTCACATACAACTGAAGATCGGGGATGTAGTAATCGGCGAAACGCGCCATCGTGATCATTATTATTAACTCATGCAAGAAACAGCCTGCTAACGTAAGCTGTAATCTTCGATTTATCGTACTCGGTCTTACCTATCTTCTATACTGTTGACTACAACGCTAAAAAAAGACACTCTCTTGATACTATACAAAGTTTTATTATTTTTTGCTGTTATGATTAGCATCGTCGTATCCACGATGTGGCCACACGGAGAGGGGGGTTTTTCATCACTTATGTATATGTATATATATATGAATTGGCTTTGGTCTTATGATATATAACCTAGTTTAGTCGGGTCAGGCGTAAATTTGATGAAGCGTCATTATGGTCAACTCATGGTTCCACGGAACTCGTACGTAATGCATCGTTTTCTTCTCTATTTAGAAAACCGTCTGTTTCCTTGTTTGTTCAGTTGAATCAATATTTTCTACTTTCCACATTTATTGACTACTTGATTTCTCGAAGCAACAATGATCCGGCACTCCTCTGACAATACTGCCCATTCGTTACACCTTCACCACGAAGAATATTCATTATGGTAATCCTGTTATTCGAAGAAGATATACACAACATTTTCGTATCATAAAGGGTTTCGTTTCTCTGGAGAGTCAGATAGTCCTCAGGTCGTTTCCTCGTTTGTCATTTGTCTCTATTTGATTCACTTCTCCAATTGTAGCTCATCATCGACTTACTACAGTTAAGTATTTCCCTACGTACTCTCGACAGCTGAACAAATGGGACAACGTCATTAACGGCGCATGCTAGAACATGTGGAAGTAGAATACGAACGCATATTTGACAAAAGCATGTTTGACAAATGATAAATAATACAGTAGAAATAATGAAACGATACGGAGAACGTCTAGGCTTTCGTTGCAGCGATTCGTGAGCATGATGAAGTCCTTGATCTTGTATTCTTCTCAACACGGAGTTCCATCTTCACTGTACTAAAAAATCTGAGAAGCCGACGTAAGATAAACGGATCGACAAAAAACGAATAGCACATTTCACATAATTTGCTTCTGCGTTACGCCAGTGATGTACATAACAGTGATACACTGTATAGAATAAAGTAAAATAATACCACCATAGAAGAACTTGTTAATTAAACGATGACAAAGAGAGCGTTTTATAGAAGAAAAACTCAATTGTGCGGAGAACCACATGATTTGAAGATAAGCGATCAAGCGGTAATGGCAACCTCTACTGCCATCAATACTTAGTCACGAAAGTCGACAATATCCCTTTCCCACGCGGATCAATGCTATCATACTGGAGGCTATAAAAGCCAAAGCGAAACGTACATATTTGTGTATGTATGTCACCGTTGGTAAATGTAAACGAGCAGGAAAACAACCATTCAGTTATTGTCCCTAACCTAAGTAACGGATAGACCAATATGAAGTAGTAAGAGAAACAATAGTAAACTATCATACCTCTTTTCGTTTCCGCTGTTTAAGTAATCAAATCTTCCTTTATCCGAAAGAATCTGAATCAAGTTCATATTTTCGTCCTTACATATATATCATGGTCTACAAAAGTGAAGCTCACTTCATCGAACTTCGTTCATAGAAAGTTTTCAAGATTTCTTTCACGTTAGGCATATACATTTTTCTAATACGTTTGTATCACTGTGTTTTGTCATGTTGCAGATTCTCGGTAGGATACACAGATGAGACATTTAGGTGGGAAAATCGGCAGTCAGGAATTAAAAAAGTGCCCTTTTTTTTTAAACTAGTATCGTCGATAGGAATCCATTCAATCCTCCATGATTCGTTCAGTCACAATCTCAACATCAGCTTGTCTGCTTCACAGTCGTTCTTCCTTGAAGAGTATCATCTTAATATTTCAATACTTCGCAATGGTTGTTCTTATTTCTGTGAGACAGACGCATAAGTTGTTGCCGTTTATGTAGATGGCCTTCCTTTTCTTGATTTACTGATCGTCAGATTTTTTTTGGTAGTTGGTTTATAACCTATAATTTCTCTATCATATCATTGTTTCATTTTACATTTGGTTGTTATATTCTTAAAAAAAAAGTCCACTTTAAACAACTTGTAGAACAAAAAAATGCGTTCAAGCTGCACAAAAGACTTAACCATCGGTAGAGTAAAAAAATAAATAAGGGAAATACTAAGCAAAAGCGGCAAAACATTATGCGTCAAATTAATACTTGCTGTCCGAACAACTTGGTAATCCGGTGTTAAATAGGTTAATTAAATACAACATCAAACTGAATCCGAGATTTATGGCAGCAGATTCTGCACAATAAATAACACAAGTCCCATTGATCGATTGAGGGTCAGCTTCTCAGATTTATTATGGAAGAAATCCCAATCGGTTTCATCGTCTTTAGCGATAGCTGTCGCAATCCTTTCTGTATCGTGATGTCCTGACGAATTTGACAGCGTCCTGCTTGTGTTTTCAGCGAATTTCACTGAAACATTTATATGCGGCGGTGGCGACCAGGTTTAATCCGTTTACAAATAGTAAGGAGCACGGCAAGGTGCCGTCACCTCTCGGCGAATTCCCTCTCGTTATAAGCAAACTAATTGGTTTCGGCAGATGTATCAGAGTGCGGATGTAAGACTGTACTTATTATTCCACACAACATTATAGCGTTCGAAAAAGTTTATAATGGGAGCACCCTCAAGAGGCCTTTACACAAGAGAATTTTAATGAAGAGGGCTTAATGGAAAAAACTGAGCCAGCTAGGAATGTCGAGCTAACGGGGCTATCCTCCATCATCTGTAATAATCGGCATTGACATCGGCGCAGTCGTGCGCAGACAAAGCGAGATTTGGCCCTCCCCAGACGAGGCATTTCGTCTATCACGTGTTTATCTCTCTCTCTCTCTCTCTCTCTCTCTCTCTCTCTCTCTCTCTCGCTCGCTCGCTCTCGTTCTCTCTCTCTCTCTCTATCTCTCTAACTTCTTTATTTTTTCCTTACGCCACGAGAAAACTTTTCTGAGGCGCAGATCGTCAGTATTTAAAAAGACAGTATCTATGCAGACAGACACTCAACACGGTTTGGGATTACCCAGTATTTGCCGTCAGTCTTATATAGCGATTCAACGGCTGCGCAGTACTGAATCACCATAAAGCACTGCCGCGATGATCATCACTGCCGTCACCATTTACTGTTTTAGGCAATTATTCCATCGCACCAATCAACCAAGCAAATGTGTATCTTCACCGCATCCATTGTCATAATAATAATATTAATAATAGCAGCATTAGTAATAAGTAGCAATAACAAACAAAATTACTGCATTATTTTGCAACAGGCGTTATCGCTCTTGCTCGGATACTGGCTGAGCTCGGGCGCCGCTGGGCCGGACGTTGAATACCTGTAGAGCGTAGTCAGATGCAATAAATTGAGTATACAATTATCTAAAAATATTTCATATGTACGCGGACGCCTACCACTCTAGCTTTCAAGCAGGATTTTCAAGCAGAGCTTTAATACTTCCATATATTCAGTTAATTTCCAAACTCGTCTCTTTCAATACGCTGAGTTCAGCAACAAACGATAAGAACTAAAAATCGAAATGATCTGCAACCTGGATGCGCGGGCCTCCTGCGTAAGTCTGTGCGCAATTTCAGTGAAGAGCTTCTCCACGTTGTCGGCTTCTTTTGCAGAAGTCTCAATAAAGTACATATCGTTTCTGCGTGCAAACTCTTCGCCAATATGCGTTGGAATCTCTCGGTCATCACGATCAATCTTATTGCCTGCGACAAAACAACAACATTATCGCTCAGTTGAAGCTTGCGTTTGTTTTCAATTACGGCCAAAGCGTTGTTCGGAAGCATGATCGCTTCCAACCTCGGATAATACAGTATAAGCATGACAATAATAATGGTAGTAACGATAATAAGGCTGACAAGCCGTGTAAATTCGCTTTGTCTATTTAAACAACTTAATTGTTTATTATTCGTCAAGCTAACGGTGGCAATGAACACGGTAAGCTGTATAACATAGTTCCGGTGTTTACGTTTTTGAAGGTATCTAACTGCGTGTCCAGTAGCCGGCTAAACCGCTGCAAATTCTGACTACAGTAAATAGCAATATAAGTCTCCAGCCGTATCTTCATATATTAATTATATGCATGTCATTTTTCATGAGTTATTTGTTACTCTAGGACAGCATCTTTTTTTTCCGGATATACATTTGCTTTCATGTATCTACGGCTGAATAGCAGGACTCGCTTATGTTTTACCTATAAAGAAAAGTTAAGCTTGGGCGTGATTTCCCTTCTCACGCAAGCACACACGTCAGCCGCGCTATAAAACAACAGAATGAAAGTAGTTCATAGCAAACCAGCGTGGTTGTTTTATTTTGTCGTGTACAATGAGTAAAAACTTCCGACTGTGCTATCTATGTTGGTTTAATAAAAAAAAAAAAACGATAATGGAAGACAAAGCATGTTGCCTTATCCTGAAAAGATCGTAAGTTCTAAAGCTAGAAACTACTGTGGTTTTTCACCGCATAAGATACGGATAGTTTACGAAGACAGCTAGTTCATACCCTTCTTAAAATAAGCCATCAATATCTTCGATGCAATAAAATGTTGCTCGCAAAATACGTGTCTGATTGAACGTATTCCAGCAGTTTCTTGCGTAAAACGTTTCTCTAAAATTTGCTGACATAACATAGTAAACTCTTTTGAAACTTGGCTACAGCTCATGACTCGCCTAACCTCGAGTTCACATATGACGGGTTTATTAGTTTCGTTAGTCTTCCATTTAGGTTTACATCTCTACAAAGTGTCCGAAGGCGCCTAAATATGTCATTTAACTGTGACTCATCACTGAATTAGCTCACCACTATAGCCTATAGCAAAAAGGAAGATACCGACGGGTGTGACAAAACTACGATTGGTCGGTTTAAATAGAATAAGGAGCATGGATATTTCAGAAAAAAGCTGAAGAGAACACATATGCAAATAACGTGTCCTGTATGAGCTGAAGGTATCGGCAATTCCTGGAAGCAGCTGCCCCTGGCGATGCTGTCAAAGACACGCTTCCTTCATGACTATCAAGTTGACAAAGGAGTGAGGCGCTTTTCGCTGATGCGGCACTTCCTTTTTGCCTCTAGCACCTGTTTGCCCAGGTTAGCTTGAAAGCTCCATAGAGAGTTATCCAGTTAAGGAAAACGAACGGACTCAAAGCAAATGAGCAGCGAAAGCGGCATAGAGAAGACGCCGTGTTGGCCACGATGTGCCACTCAGCAACAAGTATCCTCTAACAAAACGAAGATAGCAGTAAACTCATATAACACAACAGTAGCAAATAGATATTTGAATAGAAAAGTATGATGAGTCTCGTTTGATGACAGTTTACCGCATAAATATGGTACCCAAATAAAGTATATACTTGCAAACAAACCAATAATACGACCGCTGTCAAAAGCTAAGAAGATTTACACTAAAGGGAGGAACCCGCAAAAACGGCCCGATCACACTTGACTGGATAGATCGAATATAGAGCTAGCAAATTCAATGGAAGTTTGCAAGTAGAAAAGAAAACCCAGTTCCTATTTCGTTTCTTCTACGAATTTATTTGGATTCCCTTGATCGACTTTTGATGCTGGCTTTTTTCTCTTTATAGAATAAATTCGTCCTTTTTTCATTTTGTCCTTATAAATCAGGTTGTTTTTGTAAATCGTTGCCCGGCCAGACTAGGCTACCTTAAAGAGCTAATGTTTTTGGAAATTTGTTTAATCCACGGCCATGGTATCAATGGCAACCGACAGCACAAAGTTTACCAATTTCAAATATGTATGGAGCGTTCAATTCAAATCAATGCATGAAACGCTTCTTTTTTAATTTCAATATACCCATTACCGTGCCTATCTCTCTCTCCGTAAAGCACGTGGATGACAACCAAGCTTGATGACATTATGAGAAAGTGCACGCAATAGAATAGGCTCAATCACTGTGCCAATCATGATCGTCAAGCATTTTCCGCGAGCATTTAATCTCAACATAAAGCTTTATATGTGTCATTTATTACCTTAACACCATCGCAAACGATTTTCTTAACCATTTTAGCAAACATGGGTTATGTCCTCAACGTTGTTAGTAATATAATTAATGTTAACAATACTGATAACACACTTTATTTATTCGGGCGAATCTGTAGCGCACGTGTCGTCCGAGAAGCTTAGAGCAGCAGCCTACCTCTGTCTGGTCCTCTTCAACCAAAAGCTTAGTTTGAATATTTCAACCTATGAAATACTAAACAAGAACGCTTTACATAAACAGCTCTCTGTATCGTCTGCTTTAACAGACGATCCGATGGCAACGACGGGTTATCAAAGGTCGTGCAATAATGCATCGGAGGACATATTACTAACCGACAACAGCACGGAGTACTTTCGGGCTGGCGTATTGCTCGATTTCTCTAAGCCAATCAGGAAGACAGTCGAAGGACGGCTGTGACGAGATGTCGTAGACAAGGACAAGAGCGTGCGCGCTTCGGTAATAGCTTTGAGTGATTGATCTAAACCGCTCCTGGCCTGCCGTGTCCCAGATTTGTAGCTGCAAACGCGAATAAAACAGAATATCTTTAGGCGATAAAGGAAACGGCGGAGTTCAGGTGATGCCGAAATAGACCATGAACAAAAGAGGGATGTTCTTCTCGCATTGAACACAGCTGCCAGTCAAGCAGTTTGCTCCTATTGCATGAAACAGTTTCTGGTTTCCTAAAATAGACCATTTGATACTGATCTAACTAAATGCAACTGCAGTAACAGTCTCGATGGAAATAGGTATAACTTGAATTCTTGAACTTGACCATTCTTAGAGATAATGCCGTCGTGGCAACGTAAAGGCACATCTGGTGAATAGAAGCAGATCTTTTTTACTGATTACCTTGACTTTGTCGCCGTCGACTTCGACAGTTTTAATCAGGAAATCCACACCGATCGTTGCGCCCTGACCAGGAGGGAACATTCCCTGAAATCAGCAACAGGAAGAATAAATATTGTCATCTATTTTTAATGAGCATGTTTTTCTATGGAAGAACATTGAGTGCCATCATCTCAGATTGTTTCACAGGAATGAATATCATGTATTCGGCGCTATTAGATGGTCCCCCGTTGTTATACCAAATATCTGTTTCTGTATGTTTTAGCCAACGGCGCCTATTAAAAAAGAAATTACTTTGTCAACATTGGCCGTAAGTGTTACACTAACAAGAACGAAGCCTCAATCTCCTATGGCTGCATACGAGGCTCGCAAAATTGTCCTTAAGATTGGGCTAACAACTGCTTACTACAGTTGCTAGGCTGCAGGTGTTTTCGGAGTAATTAGGTTTTTGCTAGAAAAGGCAGTTGATGCTGATGCTAAGGTATAATCGAGAAGACGATAATAACTCTCAGATAAACGTAAAACTTATACCGAACAAGCGCCTTTTGCACAGACAAAAATGCTGATGTCCTTTTTGAACCTGTAATCTATCTTGTTAAAATTAAATGCAACTGTAATGTTTCATGTTAATTGAATACTACGAATAAACGTATCTAAGCCTGTCATCATAGATCTTACAATAATAAAAGCAATTTCAAAGTCATAGAGATAAATAGGTTTTATAGTACGCCATATTTGAATACTGTAACTGTATATTATCGAATTAATCGAACTCAGCGTGGTTGCGCTGTTCACTCGGTCGTTGGAGCGGGAACAAAGCAAGCCGCTACTGGGAGGAAATAGCTACTAGCGAAAAATTGTCTTCTAAATTTAAGGGGGTCACTGACCTCCAACATCCCTTCTTATCTTTCATGGCCTACATACGCTCAACGTGAGATCAGTACGTGACTGATCGTATCAACCGCCAGATCCAGCGGAAAGGAAAGCGAAAAATAAATTTGTAGATGCCATGTAGATATGTATACGTGAGTGTTGTCTCTACGTGCGGAACTGACTACCAAACGAATGGACAATCCTAGCAAACGAGTGTCGAAGACTATGAATGGTCAAAGAAAAATGTAGTAGCCAAGCTTTTAAAACTTTGGTTGGGCATAAAATTGAATTGTTCGATTATAAAACACGAACCCGCTACTAGCCTTGTGTTATAGTTTATTATAATATAGTAGTATAATTTATATAAGTATAATATAATAGTATAATAACAATCAATCACGATTGATTAATATATTGCAATAAATAAGTAAATAAATCAACCACACCCGGTTCAAGATGACCGGCAAAGAGTAACGGTTGCCGCTCCTGTAGTACTTCAAGCTAAATCAACCTAAATTCGAAATAGTAAATTTTAGACCGTTGGCCGCATAGAACCTATCATGATATAATATATTGCTACGCATCGCTTTCTTCCCGACCCTATTTCTTAAATGGCCTTGAAAAATAATTAGTGATCCTGTAATCCTTGTACAGACAGGACTAAATCAATGCCAATGTACATCAAAACAACAGAACCTAGAACACCGTTGTGAATATGCATCCCTACAATGCAATCCCTACAATGTAAACTCAACTGCATAAATGTATATAAACGCCGTATACGAATCCTTCCGAGAAATCTTAGGTTGGTTTAAGAAAATCCGTCAAGTTAGTTCTTTACATAGAGAGGAGTTCGTGGGGATTTGGAATGTCTCCAGTGCCTAATTGGATTTCAATGGTACACGATCAATTAACGCATGCTGGGCGTTGTCCATAAGGCTATTACTTTAAACAAGACCCTATGAAAATGCCCCTACCAAGTTGTTCGCCTTGGAGAACAAATGAAAGTAAACATTAGTAGAGGGATATACGCTACATTTGCATCGCCAATGATGCTGCTTCTTTTGCTGAACACAAAGTTTATTATAGCTTTCGAAAAAAAAAAGATAAATCTGGTTAATTTTTTAAATTTTAATAACTGATATTTAAATTTACATATAAAATTTTTAAAAAATTATCATTTCCTTCATGTAATTATAGTCACACTTGAGCCACTCGAAACAATTCTCGTCGGACAGCTTTGTCATGTCCCAAAGATACGATAGACAGTACTAATCATCCAGTTTCAATTCATTTTTGACGCCTGTAAGTTATTGTTCAATGAATGGAACAAATTATGCCAGGTCAGAACTTTCCAATGCTCTAAACGCTACAGGAGCAAACGAAATAACATTGCTTCTTAGTAGCAATCTTCCTTATCCTTCTTAGTATTGATTGACATGTATAGCAGAGACCGATATGGCTAGTATTCACTATTCATATTAAAACAAGATCCTAAGCATATGTGTGGTCATTAGCAATCTGTAATCGAATTCAGTGTTTCCTTTTCTGGAATCGGTTGTAACAAGATTGTCCTAAATAATGTTAAATTTAAGCCAGGATCAGACTAGCTCTTATTTACTTAGCAGTACTAGCCTTACTTAGCCATCTTCAGCATGCGTACAATGTTACGCTAAAAAATAACAACAATCACAGGTATCCATATAATAGACATTTTTTCAGATCTGTGGTGCGTACGGTAGTACATGGTACAGAGATTGTGTGTGTACGTGTGTAAACGAAAACATTGTAGTCTTACAGTCATAGCCTTTTTGGCTAGCTCCTAGTAGAAAACAATAGCACATTTTAACACATATTCGTTAGTTCTCTGCCTGTTGATGAGTTTGTCAGTTAAATCAGATGTTTTCTAATTATAGACAATGGGGCATATTTGATCATATTTATCTTATGTTTCTATCCATCGTTTTCGAATGTAATTTTTCTTTGTCCTTTGCGATGCTTAATTTGGACCTACGTAACGATGTTTCTGAAGTCAAGGGCTCAAATAAAACACCGTAATTCGGAGATCTGATGTACGATCAAAAAATAGGTCTAGAGCGCGCCTATCTATCTAGTGTGTCCTGACACTCTTTCTATTCTTTACAGTTTGTTGCACTGAACCATCTGTGTCCTGCCATGATCGCCAACCGGACTCAGTGACCAGTCTTATTACTGGCGGCACTGAAACACTGTGAAAACACCTTCACCTGTCTCTACAGCGTACTGAGCAGCGTCCATCTTGACTTCCCTGTTCGATCTGCAAGCTGACTGCAGCGTCGCTTCTATATTTGTTCTGCTGGGATAGCTTTCACAGCTGCTCTTCGCATAGCAGCTGTAACTGCTTGCTTTGCTATATATATTCGATTATTAGTGATGGTAATACTCGAAACATGCCGCTATCATGTCAACGCCGTCTCTTCCACATTCTAGGACGTTTCCAAGCAACCATTGCCGTATTAGCCATTGCACCGCTTCCATTAGCGTTCCATGTGATTCAATGTGTCATCTGGTCGGACGCTGGGCTCAGGAACGGAGTAAAATATAGGTGAGATACATCGCTGATATTGGCGGCGCATTCAAGCTGCTGTTAGCACCAGCGATTCAAACGTCTACGACGTCACCAGTAAAAGCGGCGATTTTAATGGCAACGACAAATTGCGATGCTTCCGCGGTTGCCACTTTCACTGTTCCAATAGGCGCTTGGTTGCAACAATTGCTTGGTGTTCATTTGTGCGAACTAACGTTGGCCTTAGCTTCATTCAATACGAAGTTACGGCGGCTAGCCGCCGGCATTCGTCGCGTCACGAATGTCACTATAGCTAGTAGTTTCCGCGTCGGCAGCCATTCCCGAACGCTGTCTGACCGCCAGGCAAATCCAAAGATCGGGCGACAAAGCCACCAGCAAGACAGACAAGCAAGCTAGTAGATAACGCCCGCGGCAGCCAACTCGACTCCATGACAAAGCTCACTCACAGAACAGTTTCGCAGTAGCATATCTATCTGCTGATGACGTAATGCTACTGAAGTCCTGTTTCCCTTTGGCGTGCTCATTCGTGTGCTGCTCCAGCTGCTACTGCCGGCGTAATCACCCAGTCACCAATATCCGGCGTCATACCACCGACAACTGTTGGGGGATCAGCCAGAGAATCCAGTAGACAGAAGGGTAACTGGCGGCACAATCCAAACTTGCAGACAGACACAAACGCGGCGAAGACCCCATCAAGTCGGGCGACGCACACTGACCCAGTGCAATTCAGCGCTAATTCATAAAAAGAACGAGAGCCCGACGCAGGAGATTAGGAACGAGAAAGCAACGAAAAAAAGGAGGTCTCCATAATACGCAAACGCAACCGATTCCATTTCTATTCGGGATGTTAAGAAGCAAATGAGTTGCGCGCAGGTACGCGCTTCCAATCGGGGGAGACAGCCTTCAGGTAAGTACGTTACATGGCAGAATAGAAGGATACATGAGATACGTTATCTTACGAAGAGTAGCAGATTAGTTATCAATCGCCAAAGACAATAGGATCTGTCTATTCCATTATGAATATCCGCACCGGTACTATCTGTGTCTATCGGTCTGTCCACCGGAAAACACTGCGTGCTTATGATATCTACACCTTGACAACTCAGTGTCAATATTGGAACATTTCTCGCCTGTTTTACTACGAGGCTTACATGTCTGTTTCTTGTAAGGTTCATGTAATATGCCATATAATTTGAAACAAAAAAAAGTCCAAAAAACTTTCTAATTTCTATGATGATGTTTCTTGTAATAGTAAAATCTGCCTACACGTTTCAGTAAATGTGTGCTCTCCACCTAATCAGTACCTTTCTTTCAATAGGACAGAATATAAATTCAGTGCGAGCTCATTACTGCGTGCGTATCTACGTACAGAAGCAGTTCAGCACATAAACACGCGGATACCAATGAGATCACTCGTCATTGTTGGTGCAGTGACTAAACAATTGTGCTCGACCCGGGCTAGTACTTTCGATAAAGTTACAACACAAAAATGTTCACACGCGGGTCCGAAATGTCCTTGCAACAAGACAGACTTAAGTAGTAATCAATAAATTTAACCAGTTTAGTTTTTCTCGCAAGTCTCAACCTACTTTTGCCTTGTGAACTGTTAGTGGCAACCTTAACACATCAGGCTACAGTAACCACAAAG